CCCCCACCACACTCCACACTGCTGTCTTCCCAGGACGACTGCCATGGCCTCCTCAGGCCGTGTGGGCCCCACCTTTGCCCACCCTTGCCCTCTCCACTCGGGCTGTTTTCCTCAGGGCAGCCCTTTCAGGTATACCTGTGGACTGGGGGAAAGAGACAACAGTGTGGCACAAAGTAATGGCCTCTCAGAGGAGCTGGCCAAGATCAGCCAAGATCCAAGGAAGTTCATGAAAGAGCCCAGAGATAGGGAGGGGCACAGTGCCCGAAAAGCAGGTGGAGGCTTGTGTGACAGGGGCCACACCTTGCGCTGGGGACTGTAAGCCAAGTTTAGAGGGGGTCCAGGGCTGGGCAGGGACGTCAATCTCTGATCTCTGGAGGTCTTGCCGGCCAGTGTGCTGGCCAAGGCCACCTGCTCATCTACAGCCATTGTTCTCTTTCCCAGGGGAAGTGCGGCAGGATCTCATTGTGTGAGGGAAAGGCCTGAGTCAGCAGAAAAGCAAAATTATCTTGAGCAGCTGCTTGCTGACCCGGAGCCAGGGTGATCCCATGACCTTCCAAGGAAAATCTAAATTTAAGCCCCAGGTTCCTGGGGATTGAGGTTTGGGAAGCTCCTAGTTACAGGATTTCATTTCAGGGGAAGTGAAAAACAACATTCCTTCTATCGTTAGGCTCTGAAACAGTTAAGGATATTTTCTTCCCACGCGGCACGGCAGATGTTTCTTGGAACACGCTAGTGCTCCAAGAGGTAGCTTGGGTCCCCAGTGTCACCTGGCCCTGCTCTGAAGGCCTGAGGCACCCTGCATGGGAGGGGTACCACCTTCGCTGATGTGCAGAGCATCCTTTGGCAAACAGCCAGTGAATTCACAATTCAGACTAGTGAATTGGCCTCTCCTTGCCTTTGTTTCACCGTTGGTTATGAAGCCCTCAGTGCTGGAGGCTGCAAAGTTGGAGGAGAGGCCATTGCTGGTCCTGGGTCCTCTTCTGCCATTCCTGAGCACCCTCCAGTTCCTGAGACATCATTCCTGGTTCCCTTGACCTTCACAGCTCATCTGACTTCAGTTCCGTCCCTGAGAGTGGGTGCCATTGGCTGTTTGTCAGAATTGGAGGGCACTGAGGCTTTACCTTCCCCAGTGGATAGGGGTGTGGGTGGCAGGGAGCTCGGGATGATAGAGCCCCAGGGTCCTGTTGACCCTTGTTCCTTCATAGACTGCACCAGATGGTGGTCTGTCTCTGTGATCCAGCCCCAGCTCCCCAGGAGCCTGGGGAAAGCCAGTCAAGGCTTTCATGAAATAGCACTAGTGCCCTTATGGCCCCCACCCCTCACCCCTTGTGCCTACGCTGCCTCTGTGGCCTCTTCTTTCTCAGATCCCTTCCTTCACTGCATTTTGCAACAATTTTATACTCTTTCCATTTAAAATCATAGAGTGACTCTGGATTCTCCTTTTTCATTTAGCATCATATTGTAAACATGTCCCTGCTTTGTTAAAAACATCCTTTTGATTATCAGTTTCTAACTGCCCGGAAGATGGCCTTGGGACTTGGACAGAGCCAGGATGGAACTGTCTGTCTCCGCCACTCCCGGGGTGGGGTGGGGCGTGACCAGTGCAATCTGTTCTGACGTTCTGTAAAATGGGGGCGATAATGGGCTCGACATCGGAGGGTTGTCAAGGCGCTTAGTGGACAACACTTCTTGGCTCAAGGTGGATGCTGGATTAATGTTAATAATGATGACTACTCTGATTATGCAACCATCCCTCAAGATACACTTTTATAAATGAGAATTTTTCTATCATAAAGAATGCTGCTATGAATGTCATTATTCATAAGCTTGGTATTTTGCATAATTTCCTCAGGAAAAATTTCTCAAAGTAAAATTTCTGGCTCACACCCAGGTTGTATCACTTAGACCCCTTATGTGAGTACTAATTTTCACTCCTTGTCACTGGCACTGGGTAATCACGGTTATAAAAGTTTACTAATTGGACAGGTGGAAAACAGTATCTTACTTTAATTTGCATTTCTTTAAACAGTAATGAGGTTAAATTTTCTTTTCCAATGTATATTTCTCACTTTTATTTCCTCTTTGGTGAATTGTCTATGTACCCACATAGAGCACTGATGTTTTTATCACTTTATATGTTAGAAACATTACTTGCTATCTTATATGTGGCACATCCTTTGCCATTTGCTACTTAATCTATTAGTGGTTTTTTTTCAGGATGTTACAGAACTTTAAATCTTTGAGTATTTAAATCTATTAAGATATTCCCTGTGTGATTTCTATCTTTATTGTTAGCCATCAAAAGCTTCTTCTATATCCAGAAGACACAAATTAAGTTATATTTTCTTATAGTTTTCTTATGCCTCCGTTCATGCCAAGGAGAGCTTCTGATTCTGACCAAGATGGATGGGACTAACAGCAGATTAGAGTTTTGTTCAACCTCAATAGGAGGCAGCTGGAGGGTGGGGTTGGGGGGGGAAGAACAGAGGAAACAATCAGCAAATTTGAAGATAGAACAATAGGATTATTACATCTAAACAGGAAAGAGAATGTGGACTGAAAAAGAAGAGCCTCAAGAAATGCGGGAACATAACAGAAGATCTAATAACACGCATGTCATTAGAGTTCCAAAAGGAGAAAAGAATGAGGGTGGGGATTAAAAAAAAATAGCACTCAAAGAAATAATATCTGGAAATTTCCAAAACTTAGTAAAAAGAAAAGAAAAAACCCTACAGATTTAAGCTGGTGCCCAAACCCCAAACAGGATAAACCCAAAGAAATCAACACCAAGACACATCATAATTAAACTTCTGAAAACTGAAGACAAAGAAAAGCATTGAAAGGAGCCAGAAAAAAAAGGACACCTCACCTATATGGGGAACAAAGAAACTCTCTTCAAATACAATGACATGTATTTGACAAGATAGGAAAAAAATACACTATGCAAACATTAATCAAATAAATGCAAGAGTTGCTATATTAACATCAGATAAAGTAGGCTTCATTTAGAAAATTACCAGGGACAAAGAGAGACATTACACAATGATAAAAGGGTTAACCCACCAAGAATGTAGAGTAACTCTAAATGTGTGTGCACCAAACAACAGAGCTGGAAAATACACGTATGTGAACAAAAACTGGTAAAACTGGAAAATATACAAATTGACAACCATAGTTGAAGCTTCAACACTTCCCTCTCAACAATTAGAACAAAACAAAAAATCAGCAAGAAGATAGAAGAACTCAACAACACTATTAAACAATAGGATCTAATCTACATTTACTCGTATAATGCTACCCAACAACAGCAGAATACACATTCAAGTGCCCGGACAACCTATGCCAAGACAAACCATATCTTGACCCACAAACAACCTCAAAATCAATCAAAGCAAAAGCTGGTTCTTTAAAAAGTCAACAAAATTAACAAAACTTTAGCCAAATTTAAAAAAAAGGAGAAGACAAATTGCTGAAATAAGGAATGAAAAATGAAATATTGCCAATGTTATCTCACTAATAATAAAAGTGATTATAAGGGAATACTGTGAATAATTCTATGCCAACAAAGTAGCTAACCTCAATGAAATGGACAAATTCCTAGAAGCACAAACTACCAAACCTGACTCAAGAAGAAACAGAAAATTTGAATAGATCTATATAATAACAGATTGAGTTAGTCATTTAAAAAACTTCCAACAAAGAAAAGCCCAGGACCAGATGGCTTCACTAGTAGATTCTACAAAATGTTAAAATTAGAAATAACATCAATACATTTTAAACTGTTACCAAAAAATAGAAGAAGAGGAAACACTTCCTAACTCAGGCCAGAATTGCCCCGATCCAGACAGAATTGCCCAGAAAGACATCACAAGAAAACTACAACCAATAGCTCTTATGAATAGAGATACAAAAATACTCAACAATACAATATCAAACTGAATCCAACAACATATAAAAAAATTGTAAAACATGACCACATGGGATTTATTCCAGGAATGCAAAATTGTTTTAACATCTAAAAACTGACTAATGTAGTACACCATATCAAGAAAATCAAGAACAAACACAATGTG